CTTGGACTAATAGGGCGATGATAAATTTAAATCAGAACTCCTCAAACCCTTGGACTAATGGGGCGTAGCTTGGACTAATGAGCGAATCTTGGATTAATGGAAAAATTGAAAGTTAGTTCAGAACTCCGCAAACCCTTGGCCTAATGATTTAATGGGGCCTAGCTTGGGCTAATAGGGCGAATCTTGGACTAATGGAAATTTGAATATTAGTTCAGAACTCCTCAAACCCTTGGCCTAAGGGGGCATAGCTTGGATTAATGGGGCGATGATAAAATTAAATCATTAAAAAAAACGGTAGATCCCAGAAAAGAGCTTAAAAAGGAACCAGGTCCGTTTGGGTTAAAATGAACAAAAACCCATAGTAAAACCGCTACGAATGCAAGGAAAACACAGCATCACATATGGGACGCGCACCTGGTGGTAGTAGTAGTAGTAGTAGTAGTAGAAGAAGAAGTAGGCGGCTCACGTCGCCTATTTGATTCCAGGTTGTTCTGGTTCCGAAGACATCAAAACGCTGGCAGAGCCAGCATTCACGAGCGTGTTATCTTTAAGTTCGCTCAGTTGCGTCTCAGCTGTTGAAGGAAACTCTTCGTGGCCCTTTTTGCTGACGGTACTAGTATGAACGAGTTGCGCGATGCTAAAATTAAGTCAGCTCTTCACACGCTTGGACTGACGGGGAGCACTGTGGACGAATGATGTAATGCTCAACAGAATACGGCACCGGGAAGAGCACTTGAAGAAAAACGTTCGTCCTCAGACGTTTCAAAAATGAGCACGAAAGCCATATTCAAACGCAAGATAAGCCCAAACGCAAGATAAAGAGAGGGCCTATGCTCAAAAACGCTGCCCGCCCACCCCGCATAAATTACAAAATGCGCACGGACGCACTAGAAAACTAACGGGAAGTGAAGAATGATATGGCGTCAAATAAGTAACGTATTCCCAGTAGCATAGTGGTAGAAGGAGGAGGAGGATCGCGGCGCCTTTTGTAGCAGTAGCTACCCCGAGTACTACTATTGGGGACGGTGTTTTCAGGGGAATGTATTATTCCTGCGTCCTCCTCAGTGGGAGTCTGCAGGGAGTCAATGCTTTCCATAGATGCTTGGATTCTTCCGAGCATTAACTTTGCCACATGGATCCCCCAAACTCCCACATCGTTTCAGAAATCTACTGGCACATCTGATTTTTTCTCGTCTGGCATCAGAATTAGTGGGTAGGCTTTTGCGTGGGTGTTCCATGGGGCGGACAATCTTAGCTTGCTGTAATCAGGCCGAGCTCTTAATTTGGGCGTTGGAACTGCAGGTAAGGCTTGAATCAGTCCAAAGCAATAGAAAAGAGAAAGCTTCCGGGATGGTTGATGGACAAAACCTTTCATGACCCTATATAAGTAAACCATAATGGCAATCTTACAAGCAACTGTTGAGTATCAATCTAGGTGGTGCTCCGGGAGAAAGTTGGAACGAAATAGCTGCGGTCATCATGCATTCAGCCCAACAATCCTTAACCACCACTAGTAACTTCTAAAGGAAGTCTTAGATCTCCGGAGGCACCTGGCAGGCCACAGACAGCCCATGAACAAGGGATACAGCAGGACGTAGAAGAATTCTTCTTGTTCATTTCAGCAAATGCCAAGAGAGACAAGAGAAACAACATTAAATGGTTTATGTGATTTCCCTAATCAGAAGGAGAAGTGGCAAGGGATCCAGGGATTGAAAACAGAAGCGGAACAGAGGCTTATTTAGATGAGGGATTTGGATGGCAAATTCCTGCCGTCTTGGAAAGGAGTAGAATGCATAGCACACCACTTGAAACGTAAGCATTTGTCCAACAACTCAGCATCTCCCATCACAAGAAGCAAAAGATACAAGAGTGTGAAGATAACTTTGACAAGTTTCGATTTCAGTTCCAAAAGTTTTGATATAAGACCACTGAAGAATAACATACAACCAACACCAGACGGCCTGATTTGTGGAGCTATTCAAATGGACGAACAAAATGACAAAGAGCTGATTGTGGGTTTTAAGCAGATGGTGGTTGCTGCAAGCTGCGCCTGAGGAGGTGTTTTGGCCAGGGTAGTTTCCATCTACAAGAAAGGTGACACAGATCAGCCATCAAACCACAGACCTATCCCGTTGCTGAATTCCAGCTATAAACTGTACATATTTGATTCGAATACAAGTAGTTATTGAAAGTACTTTGTGCGAGACAATATGGGTTTAGACCCAGCCGAACAACCCCCGGTCGTAAAGCTGCTACCCACGTGCCAACGGCCTCACCCCAAAGCCACAATTCAAGGCAAGAGACTATGGTTTGAAAAATGAACCATGAGATACCAATGGGGTCCAATCATGCCGGATTTGATTCATCAGCAGTACGCGTGCCTAAGGCCAGTGGTGGGAGTCCAGGAACCTCTGTAAAAAGCTGCTTCGCGTGTCCGTTTACAACGATGCCGCTTCGGCTGAACATCATCAGAGTCCCACTTTGAAGCTTAAGGCTATAAGAATATTGAAGTTTCCCCAAATAGGGGGACCCCAATATGGACACCTGAAAAGGCACCCAGGAAATTTTGGGAAACCCCCGTGTACTTTGAAAAGCAAGGATGCCCAAAGCCGAGGTCCAGGGCTTTCAGACAACCACAATGTAACCCCAAAAGATCCCCAATATACTTCCATATACAACCCTAATATTACCTTAATATAACCCCAATATAACCCTAATAGAACCCCATGTAACCTGTCGTGTTTCCAAGAATTGGGGGTCTCTTTCCTGGCGTGCCTAGAAGGGTTCTCATGTTTTGGAGAGTAAGGGGGACTGGGTCCCAGGCTTCAACATCAGGAGTGGAGGTTCTTGGAGAAGCCATTGAATTTAGGAACGGGGGTCATGCTCCAAACCCAAAAAGATCCAATTCGGGAGCATCATGCCATCTCGAAGCCGAATCATTCATAAGTTAGGAAGCAGCACCAATATCACAGAACGGCCACACTCGTTCGCCAAGCACACAGGCGTAGAAAATTGTGTGGGAAGTGTGTGTGGGAAGTGTATGGTGGTTGGCAATGACGAGACATTAGTCAGAAGTTAGTTCCCCTATCCTTTTGCAATAATGCCTCAAGACCCCTGCATCTCGTGGGAGTGGAATACCAATACCCGTTGCAAATACAAAACTTTTCATATCTTTGAGCAGAACGCCGTCAACTCCAATCTAGCTGGGCTTGAGTAGGATGAACATGGTTGCGCAGTCTAAATTCTAAAAGGACAGTCATGGCGTGTAGATTCTTAGATTCTGAGGTGATTACGTACATGCCCTTCATGGAGCCACTGCAGCTGATGGTCGCCTGACTTCTCAAGCTCCATGTGTGTGTTTTTTTCCATTCTGTTTGACGCCTGCGGCTATGCTGTCATGATCCTTGACGCCCAGAAGCCTCATCCCCGCCCCACCTTGCCCCACCAGGGTCTAGGGGTCTAAGGCCCGGGACTGGCTTCCCCAATCCCAACCCATCCCTACCACCCCACCGAGAGTGCTAAGGACTCTCTGAACTATTGTTTTCAAAACGTGATGAGCTGTGTTGGGCAGTTGGCCAGTGGACCCAAATCCTTGCACCCAAGCGAGAGGCCGAGAGTTGAAAAAAAACGGGTTTCGGGCTTAGGCTCGGGTTAAGGGCTTTGGGGTTCTAGGTCTCAAGATCTCAAGGCTTGAGGGCTTCAGGTGTTGGTGTTTCTGCGTTGCAGTGATATCGGATTGCGGGGTTCAAGAGAAGCCTTTGGGCTTCAGGACTTCGGGGTCCAGAATTTCAGCCTTTAATAGGTTTGAAGGGTTTGGGACTTTAGGGTTTTGGTGTCCAGGGCTTGGGTGCTTCAGGCTTCAGAGTTCAGGAAGAATAACGGAGGGTCATTTTGGCCCCCACCTGTGAAACTTCGGAGATGTTTCCACGGCAGGGATGCTATGTCTGGGTTGCTGGAAAAGAATTGAAATTCACTTGCTATATTGAGGAAACCCTATTAAATGATTTACTATATACCCATATCATGATAACTTAGTTGCAGTTCCTTAACAGCGAGTACTAAGCCCTCCGACCCTCCAACAATTAACATGTTCCCCATATATATGGTGGCATGATATTTGCTCATCATTAGAGGCTCGGGGTGTTCTAGCAGTACTGGGAGGCGATCATGCCTTGTATAACCCATACCTAACCCTAGTTTCCATTGCGTTTCCCGTATGATTCTTCATTATCGTGCTGTATTTCACGCTGGGGATAATTAATCCTTTCATACTAATGTCAAAAACTCCCCAGTCCTCGAATATTAGATAATTCCTCATAAGAGGCCTTCTATCTATTGAGGGCCACGTTTGGGGGTTCAATATTACTTGATGGGATTAGTAGGCTAGTCAAAACGGCCTTCAAGCTGCCTGCCCCTAAACCCTAAACCGCAGGTGGACTCATGTTTGCCCCTCCAGCGACACCTGGCTGTTTCTTAACATGTGATCATGGGTTCCCCTACTTCTAGGGCTTAGGGTTTAGGGTTCGGGGTTGTGTTCCTCCACCTTCGGGTTTCAGGTTTCAGGTTGGGTTCCCCTACTTTTATGGCTGGGGTTTCAATTTTTAGGGTTCAGGGTTGAGGGTTAGGTTCCCGTATAACTCCCCCTACCCAGAAGAGTTCACTACAAAGATAGATGATTACTGTCCTTAGAAAAGGAGCGAATATCAGCTTCCCTATTTGTTCGGGGGACTTGGCGCAATACATCTTGCAGCAAATAGTGGCAAGGATTTAGTATCCTCCTGCAGCTGCACGATGGGTGCCCAAAACTCGCCATGCAAAGGGAGGTTCCTGGCACAAAGTTCCGGACTCTCAAGGCCCCCAACAACAATCAAAACACATTGAGCTCACCCATGGAAAGTTTGGGGCCTACTAATTGTTCCACGAACGGGGTCGCTTCGCCAAGGAGCTTTTCGTTCCTGGAGCCGTCAAAGGAGTGAATGCAGAGATGCAGGAGCCAGTTGAGAGTTTCTCAACACAAGCCTGACATAATCCTCAAATTGGAACCCTTGTAGCCTCCTTATTATCCCTAGAATATAAAGTCCCCCTTAAATAGATAGAATATGGCTCTGGGTATATTGTAATAAGATCCCCATGTACCCCACAGTGGCTGGTAGTTTCATTATGCCGGCAGTCCCAAAAGTCCGTGCCTCAAAATATACCCCATGTGCTATCTACTGAAGGGAGACTATATGTTCTAGGGTCCCTGGGGCCCCCTTGGTTTTGAGAAGCCCCAATTGGAACAGTTATGCGCTTCAGGCAGCGGCTTCAGACAATGGAGTTCATAGACGCTTCAACCCCAGCAGTTCACCTTAAGACTGGTGATTTACAGTTGGTTCTGTGATATATATATATATATATGTTTAATACTATGCATATATGTATATAGACAGAAATGTACAGAATGGGATAGAGATACTGTATATGTACATATGGTAGTTCCCCTACATAAGGGAACTAGGTGATCAAACGTTGGATTGCTGTTAAGGGTTTTACTTTCAGTTGCAGTAAAAAGAGAACCTCATTCTCTACAATATGCCCATAAAATGGTAGCTTAATGTTGATCAGATGTTGACTGTCTGGCAGCTGTAAAGGGCGGTCAGAGATGCTGGATGCCATGTTGCAGCTTCTACATCTCAATTTGCTCGCCCATGGTTCGGAATTGCCTAACAGCCGGACAGGCCGCATTGGTGCGAGATTGCCAAACTGTCGGACATGAGAGATGTAGTTTGGTTATTGTTAGCAGTAACTGCACTGCTTCTTAGCATTATCCCAAGTACTGTTGTGATTGTAGGATTGCAGTAGCTGAACCCAGTATCTCCGCCAAGAGATGCACAGCCGATGTAGTATACCTACTGTCAAATCTAGATATTCGAAATACTTACGTAGAAACTATCCTGCTGTGCTATTGTAGCTTAGTGAACGCTTATCCACAACAATGACCTCCCAGCATGAAATTATGACACATGAAATCCAAGAACGTCCAATGCGTCGCTTGTCTTGTAGGCCAAGCCGCATTTCTACCAGATGCCTGTATGCTTTTTAGCACTTCACGCCCACATGGGGCTATGCTAGCATGTTCTTCAGGGCCCGCAGCTACCTTTGCATGCCTAGCCGTACCGCGATGACATGCAGTGACCACGCTCGCTAAGTGGGATCTAGAGCCCCAAGGCCGGAAGCTCCTCATCTCAAACCCAGAGACCATGCAGTACCCGACAGGATTTCTCTTTGTTGGGTGGAGCTCTGGCCCACTTCATCGGAAACGCACTCTTCGGCTACTCTTTTGGGGTCCTGCCTCTGGGATTGCATACTGCCCTCTCCTCCCGACAAACCCCATCTCTCCCGAACGAGCGCACTATCTAAAAGCAATGCAAAGGACTTGGCCAGAGGCGGTGCCTTACCTTCGAGGGAAACTTTTGGGCTCTCATCAAATTGCCTGTTCACCACTACAGTGAGGACACTTGGTATGTTACTTTCTAGAATGAGCATGTCTGAAATAATGGACTTGTTGTTGCATCTCGGACAGTTCGCCCGGAACCAAACGATTAGATGCAACCAAGAAGACAAAGCAACATTACATGCCAGACCGTCTCGAGTCGGTCAGAAAATTAGATCCCCTACATAAACCCATTCTAACCCCAATATAATCCTTGTATAATTTCCCATATGAACTATAGTCTAAACTCCTTAAAGGGGGATTATATAGGGGATTATATATGGCACTACTATAGGGGCTATTAAGGGGGATACTAGGAGTTTAGACTACAGTTCATATGGTTCTAGGGGATGCTACTGCAACTTTGCTCCCCTGTGAGAAGCCTGGTGCCCTGAGAGAAGACGAAGCTCATCAGTCCACGAAAGGAAAAACAAACTGATTTAGAGGTTTCCCCAAATTAGGGGTTCCTTTTTGGGGGGTCCCCATAATAAGGACTATAGTATTTTGGGGTCTATATTGGGGTCCCCCTATTTTGGGAAACTCCCATTTCCGCGTAGAACGTAGAAGCCTGCCTCTGAAGCTTGCAGGTCTTCATGTTTACTTGTATGAATGGTTGTCAAAATTATGGTCCCTTTTTGGATCCCTATTATAATACGGCCCTTAATATTTAGGGTACCCAAAAAGGGACCATAATTTTGACAACCACCCATATATGACCAGTGACTCCGAGTCCTCGTGCCCGAAATTCAGGGATGTTTCTCATAGGCTCCCGAAGCAAGAGAGGGGAGGCAAGGAGGGACGAAGAAGCAAGGAAACAAGGACCGATAAATACAGCAACGCCGACTAAGCATGTGTGATGTGATGTGCTTTCTGACCCTCTTCCGCCACAGCTTTTCAAGTTTTTGGTGTCCCTCGTAGTTTGAGGTTGATTGAGATTAAGCTTCTAGACCATGCATGACTTTTGAAGATGCTGGTCCTCGGAAAGTACGAAAGATTTGCAGAAGGTATAGTATCCCATACAGAAACAGTAGGCAAAAGGATAGGGACAGAGGCTTTGGTAGGGCCCCTGAGCTCCAGTTGAAACTGAGGAACAGCGACATCCCACACCAGGATGCCTATTGTGGGCTGCGGAAGGCCGCAGGGTCTGAAGCTGTAGGGGAAAGCGAGCCCCCTACTACATGCAAATTTATGGGTGCTACTGATGGAGTTGATAGGCAGGACTGGACTTCCCATTTTCTGGGAGGAATGCGGACATCCATGTTGGCAGCCACACTGAGCATCCTAAGCCCATCGCCCCCCCGCCCCTCCCCGGCCTTGTCCTACCTTTTGCAGAGCCCACTGCTGACGGCGGAAAGCGTATGCAAAGTCCCGAGAAGTAAATTCAGCCCGTATCATGTCGAAGATTATGATGAGCATGGTGTCTGATCTAGTGCCGGTCTTGGTAATTATCCCTGCTTAGCTATGATAACCTTGGCAGAACAAGCAATAGAAGTATAGTCCCCCTTAAGTAGATAGAAGATGGCTTTCGGTATGTTATAATAAGATCCTATTATGGTAAGATCCCCATATACCCCATATTCTATCTACTTGGGGGGGATTATGCTTATGGGATTCAGCAGAAGTGCTGACAAAATCTGCTTCCACATCTGCTTTTGCCTCTCCAGGACCTCTTGCCTGCAGAGACTTGCGCCACGGTAGAGGAGCCCATGCACTTGGTGAGCATGTGCCGCTTTAGTTATATTGGGGTTATATTGGGATAATGGAAAATCAAATGGAAACTACCAGAATAGGTTACATAGGGGTTATATTAGCATGCGAACTTCTACTTGGACCCTTGCCCTGATGACATGGCGAAGCAGGTGATCAGTACCAGCAGAGGTCAAGTAAGCTCCGAAAGAATCTCTCGAGGAAAACTGACCTAGCTGGTTGAAGTGGACTTCATGTCGCAGTTCTGGGGGTAGGTGGCCTGCTGGGCACACCAGGCTCAGGAACTTCCGGCAGACCTGCAGAAGAGCCCCAGTCCAAAGTTACATACTGTGAACCTGACAATCTTGCGTGAAAGCGGGGAAAAGGGGCTTTGCACATAAGTTCAACCCTGAATCCTAAAACCCTACATTTGAGGCGTCGCAGCCTCCCCTAGACAGGAGCTTGACGAGGTTGTGTGCTTCGGCCTGGCACATGAAGCTCGGTTTCGGTTGCATTCTTGCAGTCGCTGGCAAATCCACACTTGTTCAATGTCCCAGGTAGGTACTATTACGTTGCTTTTTGCTTTGCTATTGTTTAGAGTGGCTTTGCATCACCTTGGTATTTGGGTGCTAGAAATCAGTGCCAAAGTGCTTGCGCAGAATTGCGAAAGAACAGTGCGTTATTGTCCCTACACAACTCAACCAAAACGAGCATGTCGATTGAAGATCAGGATCAGTGTCCGCCGAGCTTTCCACAAAGTAGTAGGCGAGCATTCTCGTCAGATCCTCTACAAGTCAAGTCTCGGTAGTTTTCAGCGGCTCCCTGGTATAGGGAATCCACGAAGTGTTAAAAAGCCATGAATTCTTCCCCGCCACGAAGGCTCCAAACAGAGCGGCAGATGCAACTTCTATGAAGGGAGGTGCGGTCAGGCTGACACGAAAGCATATGAACCCTACACCCAAAGCCCTACCCCTGAAGCCTGGCCCCTGCCCTCCCTCAAACGAATATAGAAACCCAATTATACCTAGCTGTAAGTGGTTCCATGTCAGTTTTGGGGAGGGAAAACGCAAGGCCCAAACCCAAATGCAGCCACTCTAAGGATGCCAACGCGTCGTCGCCGGCGCTTTGCCGGCAGAGCTGCTGCGACGACGAGTACTGCAGCGTGTGGCAGCTTATGAAGATGCTCTGCTGATACGGTTGATACTAGACAACCTGCATGAACCTTGGTACCTTAGCCTTAGTCTTGAGGCATTAGTCTTTCTAGTATACCAAGGTCATGCAGGTTTCGCAGTATCAGCAGTATGGCCGCTTTTCATGCGTATGTTGTGCTTCCACGCAAAGATTATGGTCATGGTGAATGACACCGTGGTTGAAAGGATTTGTCTGATGAGCCCCGTTCAGAATTTCAAAGCACGTGATCTGTTGCGACTGCCCGAAGTTCGTATTCCGACCTCTCAAGGAACAATCAGTGCTGGCGTGGGCGGAGCCACCATTGCACCTCGCTCCACCCCTACGCGTCCGAGGCGAGGCTTACTCGGAGGGTGAGACATATTAGTATCAATAATATACTAATAATACATATTCTTATTATCCTTAGTATCATTACTATTATTACTGTTATCAGTGGTTGAGATGTGTACTGTAGCATGGAGTTGTGCTGTGGTCACTACGTGAAGGCTGCCAGGTGTCAGGGGAAGACACGGGTGGGAGCAAAAACTGGCATTCGATCTTTGTAATCTCTTGTCCTATCCGATTATGTGCAGCCAGGACGGGGTGCCAGGCACATGCCCTGCCCAAGCAGCGTTCCCAACATAATATCCACAAGATTCAGCTCCTCCTCCTCTAGTACTACGTCTTGTCCTATGGCTATGGCGATGATTGCTACGCCTGCTACGCAGCATGCTTTCTGCCTTCCTACCGCATCCACAGCCACCAGTTGGCATGAGGTGGCCGCCGGACAGCGCTTGCACTGAAGAGCGGCGCATGCCCCCTGACCCACCGTACAAATACAAGTGTTTCTGTGCCTTTGCTCATGGAACATCTCATGGATCACAGATAGTTGGAACCGCCAGCGTGTCTAGGGACTTAAAGACTCCCTGCTTGCTTGAAGTTCTTTGTGACACCCTGGACCTGAAGTGAGCTGCTGCCAATATTAGATTCAATAAGGGGCTGAACAGTGGACATAGGGTCCCTCTTGTGGTTTAGTATATAGTCCCTTGTGTATTCCCTACTGAGAAACCCATGTTCATGAACTATTTAGGGAAGCATTGAAGGTAGTTCAAATAAGGTTTGCCTACAGATTTTGAGGTGTGCGGACAAGACGGCAAGACGTTTATGGCTCACATGGCATACCAGCCAAGATAAGCAACATAATAAGCGCTTGTCACTGAGACGTATACTATGTAGAAGCCTCCTGCCCTGCTTCAATTGCTCATGGGTCAACACTTCCCTTCAGAAGTATTTCGCACATACCTTGCCAACAAATCGCCCGAGGACTGGACTTGACGCCGCCGCCGCCGCCGCGGCAAAGAGCGTGACTAGATTCTGGAGCGCGTGCCAGAGCTGTACAGGGTTCCAATGCTGAGGAGCCCCTAAACTCCAACGCTTCTTTCACATGACGTGTCTTCAGAGTTTCATTCTGCCCCGAGAACAAAGCGTGACACGCCGATGCTGCAGTGTTACCCATAATTAGAACCATTGCTAGAATTATTCTATTATTCCGATTATTACTGCTTGTATTACGATTATTGCTAGTACGTTCCCACCCCTAAACCATAGCCTTTAATGCCACCGCTCGCCAGAAGACTTTTGCAGCCCAGTCCAGAAGTTTGACGGGCGCCGAAAATGCATTTTCCTGGGGCAAGGGATCGGCTTCATCTGGCACAAGGGGGTTATTGCAATATATAGGGCTTCTGTAGGGCGTGTACAGGGGATTTGTAAGATTGTAGTATATGGGGTTTAGGGATATTGAGAAGCAGAGATTGGAATGTGAAACGGAAACTGGGGTTGGAAAGTGGGTTAGCTGGGAGTATGGCGAGCCGGGACCTCGGAAATGTAATCTTTTGGAACCGGCTTTTGTTACCCCTGGCAGGTGATACCCGTTTAGGTGTCTGCATGCTGCAGTGAGCGGCCCTTTAGAGGCCCCAGCATTTGCTGCTTTAAATCCTAAGCCCCCAACCGGAGAAGCCGATATCATGCCCGTCTTGGAGGCTCAGAGCTATGTTGACCCCATTATCAATGTATTCATAAAGCAGTTGTACTTCAATAAATGGAGTCATAATCATACTATTAGGCCTATATTTGGGCTAGATGTGAATAAGTACAGCTATAACTTGATTGTAACTACCCTGAGCCTCTAAGTGGACCAATTGCTTAGTGTAGCAGTCCGGGATCCAAACGGGCCTGGATACAAACACCTTGAACCCTCAACCCTAAATCCTAAACCCTAAACCACGGCACCGAGTCGGCCCGTTGGGTTTAGGGCTTAGGGCCTTCCGGGTATCAGATTATCTGGGGAAGAATTAGGAATTCTTAAGGGATTATAAAGAGCAAGTCAAGTTGCATGAAGGCTGGGATTATGTGAGCCATAGTCTGTATCCCCCTTAGTAACCCCTATGGAAGTCCCCTATATAACCCCCCTTCAAGGAGTTCTGGATTATGTAGGGGTTTACAGGTCCTGGGGTTTCCGTTAATTGGCCCTGGATAGCTGACACCTCCATGAATTGGAGTCATGGCATTCATGGCTTCAAGAAATGGAGGGGGATGACCATTTTCTACCTCTCCAGGCTGTGATCTACAAGTCTTAGTAGGTTAGACCGTTAGACCCTAAGCCTAAGGTCCTAAAGTCCTAAACCCAAAGCTCCTAGACCCAAAGCCCAAAGCTTCGAAAGTCCAAAACCCTAGAAAGCACTCCGCTCCCCGACCGTACAAATTTGCGTTGTGGGGACAAAGAGGCACTGACTCGCTGTCCCTTGTTACTGGTTCTTAGCAGGGAGTATGGGAATGTAGGGTTTGTCTAGGGATACTGGAAAAGAAAATGGAAACTATTCCGTTATAATGGAGTATGAGTTGGGTTATAAGGGAATTAGCTGGACGTATCATATAGGGATTATAATCCCTTATTCCCTACTAAGAACCACTGAGTCTGAGGAGTTCACTTCAGGGCACAAGCTCCCGAACAAGTCAAGCTTTTTCATGCATGCGTGTGTGCGCGTCTACATAGGCATTGATGTATACAGGACTCAGGGCCTACTTGGAGGGTCAGGGGGACTTAGTAACTAGGTTAATAATGGGGATAATTGGGGTTACTGTATGGGTTCTAGGGGTTATTAACCTACTTACTAAGTCCCCCTGACCCTCCAAGTAGAGGGCCTACCTAGACCCTCCAATGTATTATCTTTTTGGTAGTCCTAATAAGAACCCTAACCAAAAAATATACCAAACCCAAAAAGGAACTACATTGGAGGGTCTAGGTATACCCCTAAACCCTAAATAGTAGTTTCCATTTTTCTTTTCCATGATCCCCATATAATCCCTATGTAAGCCCTTTAAAGGGACCCTTATACGGTAGAGTCTGGGGATCGACCCGGTGAGAGGCTAGCCTCTCAGTCTTGTCAAGCCGTGCCAGGTCGCGGAAAGCCCTTCAGCTCGGACCTCTGCAGTACATGTGTCATGGGGTTTCCCGAAATGGGCTTTGAGTTTCCCAACAAGTAGGTGTAGCAGTTTGGGGGTCCCGTAATGAGGATTATTATAGTAGATTGGGGTCTACATTGGGGTCCCTCTAGGGAAATTACCATAAAGCCCAAAGGTGCTGTTCTGATTTCTTGCATGAAGATGCGGGGAACAAACTGGGTTCGTCAGTCTGACCTGTCTGACTACAAGCTCCTCCCGATTGACTATCAATAGCGGAATTTCGACAGAAGTCCACTCTACTAAGTGGAAGCTGCGCATCACAGGTCGAAGATCAACGCCGTGGTTGGAGGCAGCTCGGCAGCACGACCTCAGACTTGCATTGACTCACTTGAGCTATAGTCTGAACTCCCAGTATCCCTCTTAACTCCCCTATATAACCCCTGTAGAACCCCGCTTTTAGGAGTCTAGACTATAGCTCCTTTGAACAGGAATAACTTGAGCCCCTAGGTGCAGACATGCGCGAACTCGGCTTTCAACCTGTTACCGAGCTCATAGACTTGTGACGCCCAAGAACATCCCCATGAGCAGTGCTTAGGCATCTTCATCACCTGCCCCTAGTACATGACTCACCCGAATTCCCAATAATGAATACTCCTCCATATACGTATATGCATAATGGTGCCATATAGGGGGTGAAAGGGGTAATGTTAGGTTCGTCTGTAGTGTTTGAGATGGTAGAAAATTTGCTGAGCAAAGGCCTGGCACATGCCACGCACGCCATGGAGGCGAGAACAGCCGCCCGCCCAGGGGAGGGCATACGTTTGATGTGGAAGCCTAATTGAGCACCAATATTATGGTGCTGGGTTCCTCGTATCATTATGTTATAGCATACCTCAACTAGACCTCATAACGGTCTTGGTAGTCAATTATTTGGGCCCCTACTGCTGGAAAGAATGCCCTTTGACGACTGCAGAGTTGCGTTGCCAGTCTCAAATTCTCCAGCTTTCTGGCTCCAGGTTTCAATTGCAGCCAAGGGGCTGCAGAGCGTCTTCACATGGCTAAAGGTCTGGTGTCTCTAGGTGCCAGGTGCAGCATGACAAATGTTTGAGTGCATCCCAATATGCTCCTTTGTTACCTCACTTACATCTAAGCAAGCGCGGACCAGTTGTGTATGTCCTCATAGTGAGTGTACAGCAGCTGTTACAGGCGGTGCCCCAAAATTTGCACGTGTACTTGCAGCACAGTCAAAAGCAGCACGCACATGTAATGGCAGAAGCCCACATTAGGTCATGGTGGGCGTTTGATTGCCAAGTGCTCCCAAACCTCCCGGTTCTATTAAAGCTTTCATGTAAACGACACCTCCAAGACCAGCTCACGTAGGGCAATGCAACCAAGCCCATCCTAAACCTTCTGCAAACACTCCCCTACATGCTTTGCAGTTCCTATGCCCTTTCGACCACCTGAGGTGATCGAGGCCTGGCGATCCGTGACTAAGCAGGGAAAGTTCGACAAGGAGAAGTCTGCAGCTCAAGAAGAGTAGTCATCATCACGACAAACTGTCAGAACTCCGAGGCTTTGTGTTGGGTATCTAGCAAGTAGAAGTACCAGCCGGAGCTGGAGTCTAGAGTCTATGGCCCCATAATTTGAGTGTTGGATCAGGGTTTAGGTTTGGCTGTTCTGGAGCAGTGTCAGGCAGAGACCTCGCCTCATGAAGTGCTTTATTCACTGGAGATCTACGCTGCATCGTTGTTGAACATGATGTGCAGATTTTCCCGAAATCTCTCTGAGGAATGCCACGCGATGTTTTCAGCACGCTATTTTACTTGGTGTTCTTATAATTCTTCTTAGCATTACGCCAGCACCCTCTCATGCCTCAGGTCCAAACTGAAGCACGAACAGGTCCTGCTGGCCTGATTCTTTTTAGGGTTCAACTAGTACCCCCCTCTATACTACCCCCCCTAGGTTCCTCCCTTAATTAACCTTCATTAGGCTAAACTATCCTTAAACAACCTTAATTAAAGGGGGAACCTAGGGGGCGTAGTAAAGAGGGGGGTACTAGTTGAACCCATGACTTTTGCATCGGCCTGGTTGCTTCTTGCTCAGGAACACCTGTATCTTCACCAAAGGGCTCCTGCTCAGTCTTTTGTTTGTGTGTGTGTGTGCGCGTCAACTTTTGGGACACTTTGAGGGAAGCTCCAAGTTTTGTGATTGATGCAGGTTGCCATGTTGCAGACTGCAAGATAGCCGCTTTGCAATGATCTCTTGGGAATGCCATCTTGAACGCGGCATTCGGCCCAAGATGGAAGGCCATTCACGCCGTCAGATCTGATACAGTATTATTCGACCAAGTAGGCATCATGGCTCATATCCTGAGCTGCCTGCTTCTGGGTTGGGGTCGAGAATGTGTGTGTTTGTGAGTTTGCATGCCACAAAAATGCAACCCCTGACACAGATCCCATTTATGGCAAATTGTGTCTTGTGGAGAATCTATTGGAGTTTTAGGTTTGCTGGAGGGCAGGGCATATTTTGTAGTGCTTGGATTTTCTCATGTACTGTGCTGGGTATTCTACCATACCGAATGATGACTGAACCTTTTGTAATCTTGCCAGACGTGGCGTCAGGCTTTGCTGTTGTTGCAAAGGCGCGTTCCATATTTGTGCGCCACAACGGTGGCTTCACATCTAGTATGATTTGTACTCAGTCCGAGACGATTTGCTGAGGAAAGTTGGGGGTGTTCAAATATCCATATTCCAGGGTTGACAGTAACATGAGCTAATAAGATAATAGGAGAAAGGATCACTTTAAGGTCTGTTAGTGCGTCATGTGCGTCCAAGGCTTCTGCTCCTCCCCGCCGTTTCGGCCGTGAACGTGACGAGCTCCCACTTCCTAGCTCGAGCGCGCGACGTCGCGACAGCCTGCCCGGGCGACACCCGGGATGACGGAAGGCAGGGGAGAGGAACTTGAGTGCTTGTCAGAAACAACACACAGCTGAAAACATGATACGACTTGACAAGCGCACGAACAGGGAGTAGCTCGGGATCGGAGGAAGTATTCGAAGGTAAGGCAAAAGATTGTCTTGTAGTTCTTTCAGGCAAAAGTGCTGTAGATGAAAAAATGAAGGGGGTCGATTCGGACGAGGTGCAACAAGGATGACACCCACCGTGTTTGCGCAAAGATCGGCATTGCGGGCACATCCTTTTGGGAGTTTACCGGCCAGAGCAGCTGGTGCAACAGCGACATCTACGGTGATGGCAAGATCGCTTGCCCTCCAGAGAAGCCCTACTGGTGCATCTGCAAGTGGGCCACAGCTTCTTGGATCAAGGGCGAAGGGTGCAATGAGAAGGTGAACTTCGACTGTTCGGCCACCGACGTTTGCGACCTGAAAGCTTCCTACACAGATGGAAATGTTGACCTCCAACCCGCCCATGACTGCATGCAGGCGAAGTGCAAGCAGCAGTGGGACGCCTGTCCTTGAAAAGGCAGGTAGATGAGGCCTGGCAAGGCTCGACTTGGGACTGCGCGGATCCGTGAATCTAAAGAGACAAAGTATAGCCCATGCCTCTCGAGAAAAGTGAGCTGCATCACACAGCTGTCTTCTAATGCTTGCAGGATGGCTACAGTGACGTTCAAGAAAAGTGTTGGATTACGTGATAGGTGACCTAGGGGCAGAAATCACAGACCTGACCAACAGCTACTTTGTAAAAGCCCCCCGAAACCTGAGAGTTTTTAACTCTACGAGTTAGCACAAGAGTTGTGTCAGCCAGGTACAGCAGACCCTGATGCACTGGATGGGCGACTTGAAGAAGACGATACAGCCGGTGCTTTGGCCAAAGAGATGATCACATATTATCGTGTTGAAGATCCGGAAATGCCAGCGGCCAGTGTGCGCTGAGGTTCCGAGAGCTCTGAAAGGGCAAGGGAACAAGAGAATGTAAGGGGTAGCAGTGGCTTCAAGTTCGGCTTCAAGCGTGAAAAAATCAGCACAGGAGCACTAGCAATGAAGATGCCCAGGCCGTGCGCCTCAATCCAAGTAAGATGAAAATCCGCCCTCAGGAGCACCGCACCTCACTTCGAACCTTCCATGGTCCTTTCATAAAAAACCTTGAGAGTCGATAAAACCAACAATGGCCCACCCACACCTCCCCCAATGAAATGCTAGAAGCCTTCATGCTCAGACCGTCTTCTTCGCATGGCGCCGCCTCATTGAAACCAAGAAAGAGGCTTGGGCTTGGGTCCGAAGGCATAGAGGTCTAAGAATCTGTGATGCAGAAGCTTAAATTATGAAATTAGCAATAGTACGGTCCTAGATTCCTTGTCTAATTACAGCATAAGATACCTCAAGCAGACCTCAGAATGACATCGGTGCTTTAGTTACACCGGCCCTTACAGTATCTTTAGGGTTGCCAAGCACCCTATGTAGTGGTATTGCGGCAGCTATCGACAGATAGCCCTGCTTGTACTACCTGTGCAACTGCAAGCAGGTTGATATGAAGGTTCTCAAGAGTCTGTGTGGGATTCCTTATTAACGAGATATTCTTGGCGGGAGGGACAGAATCGGGGCCATCGTAGGTGATGTGTTTTTTGGGTCTGAGGAAGCAGCTTCGCATTGCGCAACTTCATGCAGTTGGCTTTTGTGAGAGGTGGTCTTCTCCTGTGTTGCTTGACCTTGCAACACATCAACATGCTCTCTAAGCCTTCGCCGCAAGATCAGCGGCTCCTTGAGAAGAGCAAGCAAGGCCCTACGGAAAACGAATAGGAAGCTTGTGATGCTGGTGTTTCTGGCCGGTGAGGCTTTCACCGTAATTGAGTTGGCGCCTGAAATGTCGCATTTAGATTTCTGTGGGTTGGGAGGTGAGAACGTAGCACAAGTAAAAGTGGTGTTCATTGAGTTTGGAGGTTCGGCCGAGGTATCGTTGAGCGCAGGGCTTTTCAACTGGAAGCGCTTCACAGGAAAGCCGTGCCTTTCGTCATTCTTTGAACTGTTCTTTGCATTCATCACGCTACCGCGCCACCCGCTTTTCACAAGCTCAGCCGGGAGCACATGGTAACATTACTGTTTGTACTAGTTGGCCCCTCCAGGCTGGATACGAAACGCAACAGCCCTCAAAGTATGCCGCCGCTGCTGCACTGACAGGAGAAGCGAGCCGCTGACATTCGTCGCGAGCATGGACGTTTGGCCAAGGAGCTGCGAATTGCCGTGTAGGCAAGATGTAAGCTGTTGGCGTCTAAAGTCAAGAAGATGTGCTGACGTGCTTTGGTTTCTGCGCTTCTTGAATCAGATGGGGCCCCTCATAACAAGTTTTAACCATAGCAGGTGCTCAATCATCTGGGTTGCTCTTAAGAAGCTTAAATTAAGCCACCATATCATAGGTAAATAGTAAATGATGGGGCTTCCTCATCATAATCATGTTTAAAGGGGTTCCTCAACAGCAGCCCAGTCATAGCTTGTGCTCAAGCATAGTCCTCATGATGCAGCCAGGAAGCAGCCAGGAAGAGTATGGTCCAAGCTGTGACTGCCTCGGTGATGGCACCTGATGCTATCTGTGGACAAGCTCGTTGCCTACTAGTGCTTAAGGGGGAGTATTATAGGGATATATGTGGGGGATATATGGGGATTATATAGGGAAGCAATCCTCCACTCTCCACCTGGGCCTCTGCTGATATTGGCCATGGACTTCTTGCATTAAACCTCTCCCAGGATGATTTCAGGTGAGTTCTGCTGGAAGGCAGAAGGTGGTCTTTGCTGCAACTCCTGGCGCGCGCACTTGAGCCTCGCACGAATACCAAAACGGAGCAGGACACTGATTTCATTCTGTGGCGGGTAGTGCGAGGCCTGTAGGATCCAGCAGTGGACCTTGTGCAGCCATGATACCACCCACTGGGCAAACTATCACAACCCCACTCGTCCTCACCCAAAATGGGAGGTTTCTATAGAAAACATTACCGTATTGGCTTAATTATTTCAGATTCTGAAAATATCATAAGACAGAAACCATTCAAGTATTGTCGGTACACTTCCTATTGTCGCTGTGTGTCTAAGACCTTGGCGCTGACCGGCGACCCGGACAAGATGGACCCATATGCTCTCAAGGTTGGATTTGGGATTCATGTCCTGACTCGCTGACAGCAAACTAATATAAACCACCCAAAAACGATAGTCCTTATCATGGGGAGACCCCAAAATAGTATAATCCTTATTCTGGAGAGCCCAGAAGGTACCCCTAAATTTGGGAAAGCCCCTATCCGGACAAACTCTATATAACCCCATTGTAGTAGTTTCCATGTTCTTCTCCATTATCCTCATATANNAACCCCAATACAACCCTAATATAATGTCCCCATGTATTTCTTGGGCTTGCAGGTGGTCCTGCGTGCTTGGCGGGAATGCATGCTCGAGGCTCGAGCTGACAATGCGTGAAGCTTAGCATCCCAGAGTCCATAGGTAAGTTATACTAGGGTTTAGGGTGTAGGG